GAGAGCGGAACAGAGATAGGCCAAGCTTTAATGACTCTCGTGAGAGCCACTAAGCTACAAATATAGGCTACCTATTTCAGAGCAGAGCAGAGATAGACCAAGTTTTTGGTGACTCACGAGAGAGTTGCTAAGCTGGAGATATAGATTGTCTGGGTGAGAGTAGAGCAGAGATAGACCAATTTTTTGACGACTCTCGTGAGAGCCACTAAATTGGAGATATAGACTACCTACATGAGAGTAGAGCAAAAATAGACCAAGTTTTTTGTGACTCTCATGAGAGCTGCTAAGTTGGAGATATAAGTTGTCTATTTAGCAGAGATAGACCAAGCTTTTGACGACTCTCATGAGAGTTGCTAAGTTAGAGATATAGTCTATTTGCGTGAGAGAAGAGCAAAGATAGACCTAGCTTTTGACAACTCTCATGAGAACCACTAAGCTAGAGATATAGGTTATCTGCGTGAGAGCAGAGCAGAGATATGCCAAGCTTTTGACGACTCACAAGAGAACCACTAAGCTGGAGATACAGGCTATCTACGTAAGAGTAGAGGCAGAGATAGGCCAAGCTTTCTGGAGATTCTCGTGAGAGCTACTAAGTTAGAGAATTAGACACGGGCGCCGCTGGACAAGGACAACGAAGGGCGTTGGGTGCCACTGGGCACAGAGAGGCGCTGGGCGCCGTTGGGCATGAACGACGAGGGGCGCTAGGCACCACTGGGCATAAAGGAAGAGGATTGTTGGACGCCGCTGGGCATGGACACCAAGGAGTACTGGGTATAGGTGCGGGGGGTGCCAAAGATGTGGGCTATAGGAGGAGACATCGTGGGCCAACTAGGTGACACCACAGTTGGGGGTAGAGGGCAACGCCAGTGATAGTGGTTGGGCGACATCATTGGGCAGTGGCTATGGGCGATGTAGGCTGGGGCGTTGGGCACTGGCTGGCAAGCGCTAGTGCTAGCTGGTGCTAAGCACTGAATGCTGGTGTGCACGCTGAGGATTGTAGGCGGCGCCTTAGAGCCGAGTGGTCTGGGAAACGATTACAGCAGGTGGTCTAGGCAACGCCTTAGAGCAAAGTGGTATGGGCGACGTCTTGCAAAAAAGTATTCTGAGCGAAGCTTGCAGTAGGTGGTCTGGGCAACGCTTGCAACAAGTGGTCTGAGTGACGCCATTAGGTAGGCAGTGGCCCTGGGCGATGCCTTGCAAGTAATCTAGGTGACGATACTGCATAGACAAGAGTGCTGACGTTGTCTAGCGCTAGTGCTGGGCACTAGGGCATTGGTTGGCACAAACGCCTAGGCGCTGGTGCTCTTGGGCGTTACATATGGACGCCGAGGGGAGCCATCCCTTTGCCTGGTTGACTATCAGCTATGAGTCACTTTAGGCTGTCAGACAGAAGGCCTTCATCTCCAATGCGAGCTTTAATCCTGATTTGAGGGCCTCATATTCAGCTGGGTTGTTGGATGTTGCAAATTGGAGGGAGACAGCGTACTTGAATGGAGTGCCATTGACCAACACTAGTCTTGCACCGTCGTCCTCACTAGTGGAGGACCCATCCACATATAGTCTCTAACATGGTACAGTAGATGGTAGCGAATGAGCGAAGGGCTCCTGTGGAGTAGGCACAAAAGAGTTGGGCGCCTCTAGTCTCAGAATATGGTCTTTCTGAGGCCTGTGGAGCTATCTCTGATACGTCAGACTTTCTCGAGAGAGTGTCTAGGCTTGTCTCATGGGTGGGTGGAGGCATTATGCATTGAGCAGGCGAGCATAGGGGCGTGTGATACTTCATCCCGGAATTCCTGTGGTATTGTAGACTCTCGGGACTTCTGGGACTCCCTTGGCGGTGTAAACTTCCGGGATTCTTGTGGCAGTGTAGACTCTTGGAACTCCCATGGCAGTGTAGACTTCTAGGACTCCCGTGGCAGTATAGATTCCCGGGACTTCCCGTGGCAGTGTAGACTCCTAGGACTTTGTGTGGTGGCGTAGACTTTCGAAACTCCCGTGACAATGTAGATTGCAGGGCGAGGGCGCCCTAGCACTACCTGGAGGTGTTTTGGCGCGGGGCCCCATGGTGGGGGGCGGCTTGGTGCCTAGAGTGAAGAAGTTGTGGTGTTTCTCTTGTCGAAGGGAGTAGTGCTCTTCCTACAGGTTGAGGGGCAACAACTCTTAGGGTGAGCATTAACTGGATGATTTAATTCATGGACAATTAATAGAGTAATCAATGGCAATAATGTAAATATCAGGTCAACACACAAATATATAGTGGTTCATTACGGATGACTTACTCCACTCAGAAAAAGAAACAACGATGGTCGGAGGACTTTTTATTGATTAAGTAAGGTGAACGAGAGAGAGAGCAATTGTTAGTTCCGAAAAGATACAATAGCTAGGAAAAAGAAAAAGTTATGTGAGGTATGTAGAGAAGTGTCCTCTCATATAGGGAGATCTTAAAATTTTTAGGCACAGATCCTTAGTTGAGGTGGTGATGTGAGGGTAAATGTACTAGATCTTTGGAGAGTTACAAAAAGTAAGTACAATTAAAGGTTACCTTGATTTTTGAGAGTGAGTATTCCGATAATTGATCCTTGCGTGCTCTAATCTTTCTGGACTCCTTGAATTCTGAACCGGACCGAATCCATGAATAAAACTTGACCCGCCTTGTAGTTGATTTGGGCCTAACTCATTAATTGGGCCTGATCCAGTTAAATCTGGGCTCGTCACATACAATAAGATTGTTCAATGAGTTGAACTGCTTTTTGTTTTTCATTTATTCAAACTCACTCGAGATTCAAAAATTGTTCAAAGATGAATACATTTTTAAACTCGATTTGAACATATACTACATGTTAACTTGGACAAATTTTTACCGGTGACTCAAGACTTTAAATGGTTCATTGCATTGGACTTTATGATGAACTAAAAGACTTCTCATACAAAAAGACTACAGAGAGGAAGAAAACCTCCGGCAAACCCCCAGTGGGCGGATGCGACATAATACTTCTGTATTCATTTCACCCAAAACAAAACAAAACAAATACATAATAGCCAAGCAAGAAAACCTCAGCACACCCCTCAACTTTGACATGAGTTTTACTTTAGACCCTTTACTTCCAATTATTTCAAGTTTGATCGTTAAACTCTGTAAATCTGGCAATTGTACTCTTAAGCCCAATTTCTCTATCAAAATAAATTGACAAGTCAACAAAAATTAAAATTTTTGGGACAAGTTTCAACAAATTTCGTTCCAAGTTTTTTTTTCGTTTGTTGCACAAAAAATCGAAAAGAAAAGGTTCCTTTCTTCCAATTTTCCCATTAAAACAAATAAAATGCCAAACAGTAGAAGTCTAGTGGACAATTGAAACTAGAGTCATGGATTTTTTTCCACAAAAAAATTCAAAACAAACTGATTATTATGATTTTGTATAATTAAGTACTAAATTAAAACAAAGAAAAGTTGAGGTGCATTTTAAAATAAGAAACATAGTTCATGGTCAAAATGATATTTACCCTTATTATAACAACTGTGCTTAGGCACATCAAACTAGAAAATGGACAACTTGTGCTTAGCCACATCAACAACCCAATTAGGTTTAAAATTCAATTCCACTTGATGAAACAAGAAAGTCTACCTTTTCATGCACCTCAGAAAGCAAAGAAAGACATGTTTTAAATGACCAATAAGGGGTTCCTATCACCACGTAGTCCTTTGAGCTACTCTATGCTGAAATTGAAAAGGCCAATTTGCCTTTCCAACCATGCAACAAAATCATATAAATAAAAAAGATGTAAACTTTTCTCATCATGAGAGTAGACTTTGTAGCGGCCTTTCGATTCTCAATCTTTCTTTTCTCCAACATAAAATCTTGGGATTTGTTCATATGCTTCCTCTTTGTATGTTTTGTGCCAAAATTGCCCACAGCTCTATCCATTAGAACAGTTCCTTTTGGTGGGTCTACATTCATAATAAACACTAATCCAACTAGAGGACTAAGAAAAACTTAAAAAGAGTCTAAGATATTTCCTTTAATTCCCTTATTCACAAGTGACCCACTTGAATCCAAGTAAAATTTGTTGTATTCAAAAGAATTTCCCATCAGTATCTATGTGCGAAGATTATTCCTAAGGCAAAAGGCAAATAAAAACTAATAATTGATTAGTACACGTTAAATTCAGATCATAGGTTGGATAAGAACCATCCTTTTTCTACCGCATGTCTTCCGACATCAAACCTCAGACTTTCATGTTGAGAGGTAGATCTGGCCATCCAGACTAAATCATGATGGATTATTATTCCCATTTACATTTTTGTCATTTCTCCCCATCAATTTGTCCAAATTATTATGGCCGGAATGGAATATGCCTTGAAAAGCCCTGGCCACAATAAATGGAAAATGGTAGTCCAACTTAACGCTCTAAGCTACCAAATAAGCATTCACAATCCAGCCAGCTAGCAATGTGAATTACATGGAACTCTTCCAATAACAGAAGTTATGAGGGGCTAGACTGGACAAGAGCTATACTTCTAGTTTAGCGGCATAAAACTTGAGTTTAATTGATGCAAGTAATTTGTAAATGATTAGGTGCATTTAAAGTTGGTGTTGCCTAGGTTATCCAAATCAATGAGGAAAAAACAGTAGCATGTGAAGAAGATATGATCATATATAAGGCATACATGGATGCCACTAAAGGCAGACAAAAACAAACCTAAATAGCCAAACAACCCCCATGAAATCAGCTCATCTTTGGAACATATATAAAATATCTGATTTCATTATTTGTACCAGAACAACATAGATAAATAAGCATGAGTAAATTTAAGAGCATAGTATTCCCATAAAATTCTCATCCTTCCAGTGTCTCAATGTCTATCACCATACACGAAGGCCACCCTCAAAATTTCATGATGTAGTACCCCCAAATAGCAATTTGTCTGAGTCTGTTGACTGTGCCCTCTCTCTATTTCACTCCATCAAAGGAACAAAAGAACCAAATTATTATGTTTTAAATCAATGTATCTTCTCATCATCATCATCTTCTTCACCCTTCTTGAAACTTTCTTGCGATTCACAACCCTCTTTCGGACTCTCCAGTGCTCTCTTTTCTTCCTCCTCATCTTCCACATCAGTTGAGTTCCTCTCCCTTGACCCGCCCTTCTCTCTCTTCTTCTCTGCCCTCACCCTCAATGCCTCCAACAATTCCCTGACTGCCTTGTCCTTATCTCTCCTGTTCTTGATCAAAACTTCACTAATATCAGCTGGTGTCATCTCAGCCTTATCAATTACTTCCTCCAAATTCTCCAACATTTCTCTCTCCAAATCACCCTCTTCATATTCCAAATAATTCTTCAAAAGAATCTTCAATGCTGGAAAAGAACAGTAACTCATGAATATATGCATATCCATCCTCCCACTTCTCAGCAATGCAGGATCAAGCTTCTCAATATGGTTTGTTGTGAACACAAAAATCCTCTCACTCCCACAACATGACCATAACCCATCAGTAAAATTCAATAGCCCAGAAAGAGTAATGGAATTCCCACCCTCCTCACCACCACCAGAACCAGACCCACCTCTCATATCTGGAGGAGAAACTGAAACATCATAGTTCTTATTTCTCCCACTAGAATTATTACTCTTTTTCCTATTAGTCAAATTGATAGAACAATCAATATCCTCAATAACAATGATAGATTTTGAGCTTGTTTTCATCAAGAGCTTCCTCAATTCTGAATTGTTATTAACTTCAGTCAATTCAAGATCATAAATATCATACCCAAGATAATTTGCCATTGCAGCAATCATGCTAGATTTACCAGTACCAGGTGGCCCATAAAGTAAATATCCTCTCTTCCAAGCTCTTCCAGTTTTCTGATAAAAAACTTCACCCTTTGCAAAATCTTGAAGATCATCCATTATTTCTGACTTTTTGACTGGATCCATAGCCAATGTATCAAAAGTACTAGGATGCTTGAAAGGCACAGACTCCCAAGGATGACCCCTTGAATCAAGTGACCCACCTCTTGAATTTGTGTAAAGAAGCCTATCTTGATTCTTTCTTCTGATTTCATTGGCTTTTTCCATAATGAAATCGAGATATGACTCAAGAATCAAAGACTTGTCCTTTTTCCTAACCCTTAAAGTGAACCCTCTTTTTTCCTCCGGCAATGGCCGCCATGAAAAGGTCTGGGATTGTCTCTGTGTGACTACGTGTTCCCAGAGGACCGCGACGCCATTGTAGACATCTACTAGGCAGTCGTTGTTGGAGAGGCCGAAAGTTATTGCACTAGAATTGAGGCCGCGCGTGAGGCTGAGGCGGTTTCCGATGATGGAGGCGGAGGAGCTGAGGTAAAGCTGGACGGCGTTGTAGAGCTCATTGGTGTTGACGCCGTCGATCTCTGTGATGTCGTAGTAGCAGTACAAGGAGAACCAGTTGGTAATACGATTGAAGAGCTTGAGAGAAGCGAAACGGAGCTCCGGTGGGAAGACTGTGTGAAGAATGCTTTGGCAAAAGGCCCACACGCCCATTACCGAAGCCATAGTTGTCCAAAACTCCTTCATTTTCAATGGTAATAGTCAATCTTTGGGGAGAGAGAGATGGGTTTGTGACGTTTTCAAGGGGGAAGATGAGGAGTCTTGGGATTTTGAGGGATGGGTCTTCACAGATTTATAGAGTGGGGAAATGGGTTGTGGATTTTTGAGTAGAGAGGTTTGGACTTTGGAGAGATGGAGGAGAGAGAAAGAGAGATGAGTTTGTGAGGTTTTGAGATGGCGAGGGCAAGGGGAGATGTCTTAGTGCTTTGAGGGATAGGTCTCGGTTGATTTATAAGTAGGAAAAATGGGTTATGGATTCTTGAACAGAGGTTTGAAGCGATGGGTGGAGAGAGAGAGAAAGAGAGAGAGAGAGTAGAGGGTAGGAATAAAGCAAAAGCCAAGAGCTCAAAAAGGATGAAGGGGCTTTGTAGATGGGGGGAAGGGGAAAACTGCTGAGGAAAAAACGCTAAAAACAAAAAAAAAAAAAAAAAATTGGATTGTTGAACTGGGAAAGAGATCAGATATGGGGCATAGTTTGGGCATTGGAGGTTTGAGTTAGTGATTTACAGTGGTCCTTTGTTGGTTTATTTTTCCTGTGCTATATCATGTAAGGTTTGAAATGAGCTGCCATAGACTGAAACACTGAAATGAGAGATTCTGTAACATCAAAGTCTTGGACAGATTTCTGATCCAAAAAAACTAAGTCTTGTACAGACACAATGAATGAGGTTTGGGAGAATTCACGTCTACCCGTAAAGTAAATACATTACAAACCGGCGAGGTTAGCTCAGTCTTTTAAATTAATTTGAGACTATCGTTTAATTTTTATTGATGGTTCTTAAATTTAAGATATAATTTCTCTTTGTTGATCACTATAAATATTCAAAATTTATTCTGAAACATTTTTTCCGAAACATCCAAAAAAAAGTTTACTCTTAATAAGTTTGTCTAATAAAAAATTCCTCTAATAATATATTTATATATGTCATGCACAAAACCAACAAAAAAAAAATGCTAAACACATGATAAAGATGTACGTTCAGAATATGGAAACTAACAAATCAATTGGTGAACTGTACAAGTAACAAATAAAAAGTGACTCAATCAAACCCCCGATGGTAGAGTGGGGACCCCATTGATTGAGTCACTTTTTATTTGTTACTTGTACAGTTCACCAATTGATTTGTTAGTTTCCATATTCTGAACGTACATCTTTATCATGTGTTTAGCATTTTTTTTTTGTTGGTTTTGTGCATGACATATATAAATATATTATTAGAGGAATTTTTTATTAGACAAACTTATTAAGAGTAAACTTTTTTTTGGATGTTTCGGAAAAAATGTTTCAGAATAAATTTTGAATATTTATAGTGATCAACAAAGAGAAATTATATCTTAAATTTAAGAACCATCAATAAAAATTAAACGATAGTCTCAAATTAATTTAAAAGACTGAGCTAACCTCGCCGGTTTGTAATGTATTTACTTTACGGGTAGACGTGAATTCTCCCAAACCTCATTCATTGTGTCTGTACAAGACTTAGTTTTTTTGGATCAGAAATCTGTCCAAGACTTTGATGTTACAGAATCTCTCATTTCAGTGTTTCAGTCTATGGCAGCTCATTTCAAACCTTACATGATATANTGTGTGATTCATGTGATTTACTAGTTTGCTGCTATGGGATTCTGCTTAAGTTGCTTGATGCAGGAGTGAAAATCTTTTAACAAGCTTGAAAACGGTGTCCATTAAATAAGGATACGTTTATTTGAAGTCAATCAAAACTGTAGATTTTACTTTGCTTAATTTAGAGTCATGGATTATAAAAATAATAAAATGGGTGACCGACATTTTACACACTTGAAGATTCTCACATTTTCAATTTACACCCACTTGAGTTATAATCTTTACATTACACCCTCAATCACATATACATGTCTACACATAATTGTTCGTATAATACTCAATTTTAAGTGTTTTAAATAAAAAAATATATACTTAATTTTCTTAAAATAAATCACATTACTAATTTTATTTCATTGGGACAGCAATATGAGAATTTCAATTTTTTAGAATTAAATAAAGAATGCAAAAATCTTTCAAAGTGCAAAGTGTCATTTGCTCTAATAAAATATTAAAAATTTACACAAATTAGAATTTTATTAGATAAAAAGTGAAATTTACAGTCGAAAAAATTAATTTTTGTGCCCTAACCTGACTGGATAAGGAATAACCCCAAGAAGATTTGGTGATTTTGTAATTTGCTGCTACTGGATTCTGTTCAGTAGGTTGATGCAGCAGTGAAAATCTTGACAGGCAGTTACTGGATTCTTGATGCAGCAGTGAAAATTTTGACGAGATAGAGATAGAAAATGGTTTCAAGCAAAAAATATGCCAAAGAAGATTTGACGATGATTCTGTTGAATCATTAATGATGCTCTTCTCTTGGTTCTAGGCAGCTTTAAGGCATGAAACCTGGGTCTCAGATATTAAATTTTTTACCTCAAACCAAAAATTATTATTTTTTTTTAAATTCAAATTTAAAATTTTTTTGAAAACCTTCTCTAATTCTATAATTAAACTCATATCAAATTAAGGAAAAATTTCATACTTAAATATTTAATTGTGAGATTTCACCATTTTTTAAAGTTCTAATAATTATATTTTATCTTTTTTTAAATTTGAGTTTGTACTCATTGAAATTTGAGTTTGTCAATTAAAAAGGTCTATATCAAATCAAGTTTTTTATTTTTTATTTTTTAACTCAAATTTAAGTAAAAATTTAATTTTTATTGGAGATGGTGTAAGAAAATATCTTTAAATTCACACAAATCGGTTAAATATTAGAATAAAAAAATAAGACATAAATTCATTCGTCTTAAAAAATAAGTAAATCTTCAAGGCAAGGTATTAATTGTGAAAATCAATATGCATTAGTAATGGGTAATTACGGGTATATGTGAGTTCCATCAACTTGGATTTTATCAAAATATGAGAATGTCTTCTTGTGCGGGGAAAAGTTTGAACAACCAACCATGGCCTAATACGGACAAAGGTGACGGTAGCAAAGCCACAAACGACCTACAAGACAAGTGAGAGCTAGGGGAGCTAGGTGAATCGACAATGAATTAACAGTCGAAAGTTGTCAAAAAGACTTCGATGCTTCAATTAGATTGCAAGCTAAAAAAATAAATAAAGTCAGTAGTCAGAGCTCGAATCCCCCTTACTTGGTGCCCGAATGCTCTATTTATTATAGTGGCCGGAAGTTGTGTTCTATTGAAACTCGAAATCTGAATTCTGATAGGATTGATCTACCTTCCAAATATTTGACCTTATTACTAGCTCCTCAATGTTCACAATAGTGTTGGACTAGGATTCTTGCTTCTAGGTTCAATTGTATTCAAGTATGACTCGTTGGGTTGTTATTTTGCAACAAGGGGACAAGTGAGCTTATGGTAGTAGTGATGTACCTGTCGGGTAGTATGGCTGGTGGTCATGTGTCCACCCCCCGGCAAGGCCATAGGCCTCCCATGGTGGGTTGCCCACCGACAAAAGGCTTCGAATGGTTTCCAACAATTGCCCCCTATACCTCATTTAATAATCTTAATTAATTGAGATATGTTTTTCAAGAACAAGGGCTCTTTGGGCCTAATTCCTTGCCAATGGGATTTCAATGCCTAAAAGATTAGGGCTTTAAAACCTCTCCTTTCTTTTCTTTTCTCTTCCTCCTCACCCATTTCTTCATGTTGCTTTGTTTTATTCTCTATTCTCTTGACATAGCTTGGAGCTTTTATGTTTGAAGGACAGAAGAAGCCACCACCACTAAGAAGGAGTGCCAGATGAGTCAAGTCTAGGGCAAAGAGTGTACTAGAGGCTAATCCTCATATTGATGATGATATAGTCATAGAACACCTTGTGGGTGTCAAGTCTGCTTTTATGAGTGTGGAAACAAAGAGAGGAATGGGTCATGCTATCATTCTTCAAGAGGATAAGGAAAAGGTGTCAAGAATCTTGTAAGGGAGTTGCTCGACTTGTTGATTCAACATTCAATTTTAGTAAGCTCTAAGCTAAGTTTGAAATGAGTAGGTGAAGAAGGAGAATGAGGAGATAGAGGAGTGGGTGAAGAAGGAGAATGAGGAGATAGAGGAGTAAGTGAAGAATACTATCTGCGATCAATACTCTAGGATCTTGGACAAAGTGAAGAAGAAATATGCCAGAGAGAAGAGCAAGACCTTCGAAGATGGCTGGGGATGGTAGCTGGGATTGGTGGGTTATCCCTAGTATGGGAAGAAATTCTGTAGCTCGAGAGAGATCTCCTAGTTCCTACAATTAAAGAGAAGTTCATTGTATGTGATGACCTGAGCACTCCTACATTAGTGCCTCCAATATCAACTAAAGTCAAAGGATCCTCAAAAGTTGATATGGCTGCCACTATAGAGATTGAGGTATCCCTTCCTATAATCGAAATTATCTAGAGAGAGAAGCTCTGCCTTTTCTCTAGAATGTTATTTTCTTATGCCTTCAACACTTCATCATAACTCTATCCCCCCCCCCAAGCCACCAGATCCATCCATTTCTATTGCTTCTTCCTTACATCTACATATCCCTATATCTAATAATCATGTGGTTGCTTTGACGTCATTGGAAGCTGCTAAGATCTTGACCTCTAAGGCATCTGGCCCTTATGCATCTTTCTTCCAAAAATAACTTCGTGGCTGTGGCATTCTGGATACACAGTCTTCTAAGACTATTGTAGCAAAGCCAACTAAAAGAGTGATCTCTCACAATGGGGAAACGATAGTGGTTTGAACAAGAGAAGAGATGAATGAGGCTTTTAAGCCACTATAACTTTTTGTCATTGGTAAGTGTTCATATGGTCGCCCTTCATTAAGCTGTATTAGAGATTTTATAAAATTTCTTAAATGTGAGTTTTCTCTGGGAAGTATGGATCCTAGACATGTACTATTAAAGTTCAGTCTTTATGATGATCTTATAAAGGTTTTATTGAAGGACATAGCCTACATTTATG